GGTTAAGGGCCTTCTTTTCTTTCCTTCACTCTTTCTTTATTTTTCTCTTTTTTTCTTTACTTTCTTTCCTTTTTCTTCTTTATTTCTTTCTCCTTTTTTGACTGAAGAACTGTGGATTTAGTTTGCGTAATATCTTTATTACTGAAAACTTCAAGGTAAGCGAGCAATAGAAACCAGATGTGGGGATGGGAGGAAGGCAGGGTAAGAGTAAGTGAAAGGGGTAGCAGGAGTTAACCGGGGGAGGGGAGGAGGACGACGGAAGGTGAGTATTGATTTATTTTTAAGCCTTTTTTGGGTTGCAATTGACCCTTCAAACCAAAAAGGGCTCCTGCCAGCCTCTGTCCCTTTGCAAGATCACCTCTGGCAGTCCCAGAAGCCGGGGCCAATTTTATGTGTTTGGCGACCCTGTTAAAATCCCTCCCTGCTGCCCTCCTGCTTTTGATCCGGTTGTTTCACACCTGGAGAGAGCACGTTTTTAGAGGTAAATAAATAATGGCAACCATAAATGTGCAGCGAGAGGCCGTCGAGGGCTCGGCTGGCGATATGCGAAGCACTGCCGCGCAGGGGGACGCAAGTGGCCGATGGCAGAGCTGGGAAAGCTGCCGGCCCTCAAGGGGTTAATGGGGGGGGGAGAGGCTTTAAGGCATACAGCTGCGGGGGGAAATCCGTATTGCTCTTAATACAGAGGAGGGGACCGCGGAGGCGGGGGTCTCCGCAGCTGGGGGCAGTGAGCAGAGGAGAGGGCCGGAACGACCATTGAATCATCCCCGGTGCTTCCGCCTGCGCGGACCTCACGTCCATCCCTTCATGGCGCTCATGACATCTGTTTGATTTTCTGGTTTTTAATCATAAAAACTTTTGGGGTTGTTTTTTTTTTAAGGCAAAAGATATGACCTCCGGAGGCGGGGGTCTCCGCAGCTGGGGGCAGTGAGCAGAGGAGAGGGCCGGAACGACCATTGAATCATCCCCGGTGCTTCCGCCTGCGCGGACCTCACGTCCATCCCTTCATGGCGCTCATGACATCTGTTTGATTTTCTGGTTTTTAATCATAAAAACTTTTGGGGTTGTTTTTTTTTTAAGGCAAAAGATATGACCTCCAGCCCCCTCCGCTTCCACACGCACCCCCCGTACACACACATCCCCCTTCCTGGGCCCCCTCCCCTCCACTGTCATCATCTACATATTAATTGGGGGAGAGGTCTCTTTTTTTTTTTTCTTT